CTAGCCAGGGCTGCGGTCCAAGCTTTAGAATTCCCCCTCACCCACACCAGCCATCAGGCCTATTTTCTATTTGGAGACTTAGAAGGTCTCCAGTTAGAGGGGAAGTTGGGACTAAGAGTCACTGTTGGAGGGGTTGGGCTCAGACACAGCTACCTTTGTTAGTCTTAGGATATTTGGGGATTTCATAGCATGCTTGGACAGACTGTGGGAAGGCGTGGAGGATGGGTTCCTGAACTCCTCTCCTGCCTCACTCATTCCTGGGCAAACCCCACAGCACCTCTTCCCCTTGCTGGGCTCAGTGCATTGCCTTTAGAAGATGGGCCTCTGGTAGCCCTTGGTACTCCAGCATGCCTCAGTGTGAACTGGTCAGCTTTGGGGAAGCACCCTCCTCTTACCTTCTTCTCCTGGCCTAGGCAGGGTGGGGAATCACGAAGGGAAGTCACACACAGATAGATTGACACTTCTCCCCGTCTTATATACTGAAATTTCAGAGTAGCTTTGATTATATGCCTAATAATGCCTTCCACATAATAATGTTCAATAAATATTTGATTAAATGAGTAAAAGAATATACAAAAAGCTGGAAGAGATCTTAAGGGGTGATGATCCCGGTTTTCAGGCAGGACCACATTTAACTATTATTTCTTCCAAATTTTTGCAATAGAATAAAAATTTGAAGCCTGGGGTTATCTCCTTAATTCCCCATGTGCTGTGAGGAGATTTGGCATAAATTAAAGAATTGAACTTGGGTGTCTCCATCTAATATTAATCTACCTTAAGTATTTTGGCACTGTAGAAATGCAAAGTACCACTTTTATTTGTCATTTCTAGGGGAGGTGACTCCAGGACTATCTCAGGTAGAATATGCACTTCGCAGACACAAACTGATGTCTCTGATCCACAAGGAATCACAAGGGCACAGTGGGACTGACCAGACAGTAGTTGTGCTCTCCAACCCAACATACTACATGAGCAACGATATCCCCTATACTTTCCACCAAGACAACAATTTTCTGTACCTGTGTGGATTCCAAGAGCCTGATAGCATTCTGGTTCTTCAAAGCCTCCCTGGCAAGGAACTACCATCGCACAAAGCCATGCTTTTTGTGCCTCGGAGAGACCCCAGTCGAGAACTTTGGGATGGCCCACGGTCTGGCACTGATGGAGCAATAGCTCTAACTGGAGTAGATGAAGCCTATACACTAGAAGAATTTCAGCATCTTGTACCGAAACTGAAAGGTAAGAAATGGGAGCAGATGACAAATCATGAACCAGATTGGGATTAAGACCTTCCTTGCCTATTTAGATAGAATTCTTAATTTCCTAAAGTGTTTATCATAGCTGTATTTCCCTAAGCACCATGAAAGAGACACAAGTCTTTTCCAGAAGACTGAGCTACTTTATTTTATTTAAGAAATTTCAAAAAGGAGACACATTGTAAGCAAGGTAATAGGGTAAGAACAGATTTTTATTCATGTAAGAAATAAGAAGAAATTAATTGCAGAATAATTCAGGGAATGATTAAAAAAATTGACCATCATCAAAGACCATATATTATGCGATATCATTTATATGAAATCTCTCCAATAGGGAAATTGATAAAGACAGAAAACAGACGAGTGGTTGCCAAGGGCTGGAGGGATTGGGAGAAAGTGAGGAATGACTGTTTATGGACATGGGAAGTTTTTTGGATTGATGAAATGTTCTAAAATTCATTGTAGTGATGGTTACACCATTCTGTGAATATAACAAAAACTACTGAATAGTGTACTTTAAATGGGTGAATTATGTGATATACGAATTATATTTCAAGCTATTTTTTTAAAAAGTTGGCCAGATGAATTGCAGTCATCTGATAGAGAATATTAAATCTAGACCTAAGTGTTTAAATTTGATCTAATGGGCAAGAAAAAGCCATTGTAGGTTATGAGTATGGAATGGACTTTCCATGGTTTCCCTTTTTTATC